TCCATCCAGAGCAGTTTGGATTTTGTAAACTTTTAACGTAGAACGGGGTAGCACACGCGGACGCTCAGCCCGGTAGCTCGGCGTTTGATAAATGGCAGCTCTGAGCAGTGTTTGCCAGGAGCCGGCCGGCACCGACTGCCAAGCCTGGGAAGCGTGGCGGGGCGCCAAGCCTGGGGGTACCATTTCCAGTCAAAAACAAGGAGGAGGCCCGCTTCCTTCTGGGCTTGGCAGCTGGTTCTGAAGGAGAGGGAGGGGACATTGGTTAGACCTACTATGTGCGCCCCGTTTACGCTTTTACTTCATTGCGCGTTTTCCCTGCAACCCTGCAGGGGTGACAAAGGAACTGCTGCTGGCGCCTCTTTACAGACAGGGAAACTGAGGCTTGGAAAGGGTCCGTGACTCATCCGAGGTCACGCGGCCTGTGAGAGGCAGAGCCGAGATTCGAACTCCGGGCCTTCTGTACCTGTGCTCTTGCCAGCGAGCCCGGAGAGCACCCCAGGGGCACGGCCCAGAGGTGTCCAGAAAGGATTCAAGGAGCCGCAGCCTCCCCAGCAGCCTCTGAAGGGCTACATTGCACATCCAAGTTCTTTGTTCCCTAGAAACAAAAATCCGCCTGGGCCACAGCGCCCCCTCGCGCCCCTCCCGGAATCGCCTGCCCAGGCGGTCTGGGCGGCTGGTGGGCCCTGGAGCTGCACGACCAAGATCCTGCCTGCAAATGGTTTCTGCAGCAGCTTCATCAGAGTCGAGGGCAAGTCCCAGCTGCTGCCTCCTGGGGACCCTTCAAAAGTGGCAGAGACACTCCCTCCCCATCTCATAGGGTTTGGACCCACCCAGCCCCACCTCTTGGCTTCTCTGACCACCTGCCAAGACCCTGCTCAATATGCAGTTCAGCAGAGCGTCTCCTACTCCAGGCAGCCCTCCTGGAGCCCACCCTAGCAGATGGCTCAACCTCCTCTGAGCTCCCAGCAAATGTACCCACAAGTGTCACCATTACGGACTAATGTGTATCAACCAGCGCCTGTTCCTGTTACCAAATCTTTGTGGGTAGGAGCTGCTATGACCTCCATTTTACAGATGAGGAAACAGGTGTAGGGATGGAAGGAGCTTGTCAGGTTAGGAGCTGCCCAGCCCCATGACTGCACACAAGCGCCTGGAGCAGCAAGCTTTCCATTTGGCAGAAGAGAGAGGCCCAGACTTAGGTGGACACCCAGCCTATCAGCTGGACCCCCAATGGAACTTGGTCTCCTGGATGCCAGCCGAGGGCACTTCTTGAGGCTGGCCCAGCTCCGCCGTGCTGAGGGCCGGGTAGCCTCACGGGCCTAGGGGAGCAATGTACGCCCCCTCAGTCTTGGGGTGCCCCCACTCTGCAGAGGTTGCCCCACCTGGCCACCTTAGCCTGCTCATCTGCCAAATGGGAGCACAAAGCCCTCTGTGCTGGGGAGACCACAGAGCCAGGCTCAGGCGCCAAGGACAAGCACGATGGCAGACAAGGAGCCAGTCACACAGGGCCCCTCCGAGGAAGGGGTCCCGGCAGAGATGGGACCTTGTGGAGCACAAGGCAGGCCCCTGGAGCCCAGCTGACAAACACAGGACCATCGGCCCCTCCGCTGCCCGCCCCCCCCCGCTTGCCACCGCCCCAAATGCAGCCGCTCCTTCCTTTGGAACCGCCCGGCACCATCTGCAGGACCATGTGGGCCCATCCCTCCCTTGGCAGAGCCCCCAAGCAGTACTTGGAAGACACGCCAGGCGGCCGGCATTGGCTTTTGAGAATCTGCATCCAGAAAACATGCTCTGTCTGTCTTCCTACGTGCCACCTGCTCGAGAGGGCGGCCGGCGCCTCGCCTTCTGCATCGGTCACTTTGCCGCTGGAGCCCAAGGGAGCAGCCCCAGGAGTCGGACCAATGAAGATTTAGCCTCAAAAGGAATCCTTTTGTTTCCCTACCATTTTCCACCCTTTTTTTTTTCTTTTTGGCCTAAGTGGGGATTCATGTTCTGTTGGGACAGATGGCCGGGAAGTGGGTACATCCATCCTTTGCTCACTCCCTCTTCGCGTCTTCCCGTCTGGCTGATCCCTGCTCTGTAATTGAAGGCCTTCTGCTTGGTGACATCCAGCCAGCCAGCGTCCCTGAAGTCCAGCTGCAGCTCAGCCTGGGCCTCTGAGTCAGAGAAAGCAAACTCCTGGGAACCTTGGAGAACCGGCAGCCGGTCTGTGGCCTCGAGGGCGCTTGGGACTTGCTGGCCACGTCAAGCAGTGATTGGCTTGAGGGCGAGGCCAGGGTACCGAGTCTGAGATCCTGGCCAGGGCCGGGCTCACTCCATCACTCAGCCCAGGAATCAGGACAGCCCATGGCAAAGGCCGGCAACATCCAGAGCAGTGTGTCTCAAAGGGCAAGGATCGTGGCAGGAAGTTTTGGTTTCCGATATGAACACTCGTGAGTGTGTGTCTCATGATGCCACCCGCCTTTCCTGGGGTCATGGTCAGCGAGTCTAAATGCCACGTGTGCAAAGCATTGTCACGGATGTGTCTGGGCCGTTCACGGGGTGGATCACGGTTCATGAGCCCCAGGTGAGTGCGCTCACGTGGGCACCCAGTTGCGGTGGCTTCTGAGCTGGTACAGACTCAAACTCTGTCATCGGGAATGTCTGCCACAGCCGGGTGCTTGCAGCGTACTTTGCCCGGGTGGACAGAGAGGCAGGGAGGCCCCGGCGGGCCCCGAGCACGTGCTCTCACCCACCGATCGTGCATCCGGGCCGAGCCCCAGCCGGGCCCCTGCCTGTGGGTGGCAGGGGGAGAGAGGGACTGAGAACGGGGTTTGAAGGTCCGCTGTTGGCATAAGAGTCCTGGCGGGAGGACAGGGAGGCACGTCCCGGGTCTGGTGAGTGGCAAATAAGAGTGACGTGGAGGGTAGGACATTGGCCTGCGGGTGTCCAGCCCGGCCTTCGGCTGAGGGCGTGAGGGGTGGGTCAGACCGTCCACTCCGTGCTCACTGTCACCTGGCTTCTGGCCAGTGTCGGAGCTTCTGTCTACCGTAAGGACGAGGGGGGCGGAGAACTGGGTTGGGGTAAGGATTCGGTGAATAAGAACGTGCTCAGTGAGAGGGACCCAGCCCCAGCATCTGCCGTGGCCAGCTGTCAACACCAGCCCACCTTGGGCACTCTGCCCGTCTGTCTCAGTTTCCAGGGCTTATGCCCTGCCTGCGCCCAGAAGCCCAGCAGACCCCCAGTCTACTTCGTAACAGTAGTGACAGGCAAAATAACTATGGTGGTGTTAATAGGACCAACGCTCTGCCATGTGTCCCTCCCTGGGGTCCTGGGAGGCAGGTCTGGCTTATCAGTGGGTGAGGACATACGAGGCCCAGAGGGGAGGGGTGATGTCCCCAGGCCACAGGGCCACACTTGTGGTCAGGACCCTGCCCTTCCTCTAGGCCCACTCTGAATTCCCTGCCAGAAGCCGGCCATGCTGGGCATACCCACTCTCCCCACGTCTTAGATCAGTCCTGCTTCCCATCTGGGTGGGGGTCCCCTGTGTCCCTCTGCCCTAAGGGAGATGCTCCGTGGAACATCTGAATGGATGAAGGAGGCATGGGGTGTGACCCCTGCATACAGACGAGGAAGCTGAGGCTCAGAGAGGTGGAGCAATGGCCAGCCTGTAAGTGGCAGGGCCCAGGTCCTCACCATGGCTCCCCACCCGGCCCCCGACTCTCTCCCCCTCCGGCAGAAACAGGCTCCCGCTGCCCGCTGCCTTCTCGAGCCTTCTCCCGGGAGCGTCTGAGCTTCTGCCAGGATTAAGCCTTTCAAAGGACACGTGCTCAGGGTCCCAATCCAGCTGTCAATACCGCGGCCCAGCGCCTCTCAGATCTCTCCGAGCCTGATCGAAGTCCCTTCCCCAGCCAGTCCCTTCTGAGCACTTGCACCTGTCAGGGCCCCGCCAGGTCTGCGATGGTGGGGCACGAAGAAAGAGGTGTCATCCCCTTGCCACTCCCTCACGTCAGAGCTGCCCAGAGGCTGTGACTGACAGGTCCCCGCGGACGCGTGCGGAGCAGGCGGCCAAGCTCACGGCCAAGCTCACGGTGGATGATGCGCCCTGGCTGAAATCAGGCTGCTTAGTAATGAAACCGGCGGCTCCCGGCGCCGCGGCCAAACTCCACCGCCTCATCCACGGGCACAGATGGAGGTGGGGGGGGCGCGGGCGCTGCCTCGGCAAATGAGCAAGCAAAAGGCTTGTTACACAGAAAGAGTTGGAAGGGGGGGGCGGCCAGGAACAGGATTGTCAGAGGATCCTGTGAACACTCAAGGCAGCTCTGGCCTGGGCCAGCGTGGTACTTATTTCAAAGCAATTTAACTGATGGGATTCCTGACTCCCAACTCAAGAATGTCATTAAAATGAGTTACAGAGGCAGCAGGGCTGCTCCTCGGTACCCGAGTCACACCCCTGCGGGCTGTGGACTCCTGCCGCCCGCCCCCCGGAGAAGTGGCCAGGGCTCTGGTTCCCCAAGCCCCCACTGATCCCCCCCGCCGCCGGGGCCTCTTCTGCTGGGGAGGGTGCATGTGACGCCGGCAGAATCCTTTTGAGAGACGGAGCTCCCGAGGCTGTGTCCTCGGTTCTTCAAAACTCAAGAATGGGTTTTTGCTCAGTTTTGTTTTGACCTGTGAAAAGGAATTAGGGCCCTTGCCCACCCCTCTTATTTGACCCGTGGGGAAACTGAGGTCCAAGCCGGGATGGGACCAGTCCGGGGTCCCACAGCAGGGTGGCAGAGGTGGGCCTGGAAGCATGTTTTCTCCAGCCTCGTCCACCATGATTTCTTCCCGGGGGGACGTTTTGGGGGCCTGGGGGCATTCAGTCCGTCCTGCCTGGGCCCCCATGAAGCCCTTGAGTCCCTGCTCTGCTCCAGGCCCCTGATGTCCCCAAGTGGGCGGCTGAAGGGAGTGAGTGGGGCAGGGGACGCACGTCGGGGCTGGGGGTCCTGGGGCGGTTGGCGCCAGCTCTCCATCCTTTGCAGGTGTTTCAGCGCCGGGAGGACGGCTCCGTGAACTTCTTCCGAGGCTGGGAGGCGTACCGGGACGGCTTCGGCAAGCTCACGGGGGAGCACTGGCTAGGTGAGAGCCATGACGCCTGCCTGGTGCAGGCTCCTCTGTCTCCGTCGCCCCAGCCCGAGGGAACGCGCCCTCCCCGCCTGCGGGGTTAGGCCCTCCGGGGCTGCAGGGACAGGTGATCGGTGCGTTCAGCGGGAATGAGGTCAAGGAGCTGGAAGCCAAAGGAAGTGCAGACAGTGTGAGTGGGTCCCTTAGAGGTGAGTGCTTTTCCCCGTTGGGACGCCCTGGGACCTGGTCGCCATCCTGGATCCAGTGAGTAGGGGGCGGGGACAGGGCTCAGTTTCAGGTACAGGGAAGGTCAGAGCAGCCCCCAAACTGCCCTGCCCTCAGGGGTCAGCAAATGCCCGGGGTGGGCTTGGGGCGCCAAGGGCATAACTCCCAAAGGAGAGGCCGTGGTTCCTGAGGTCCCTGAGGTCTCACAGCTGGCATGTGCCCAGAAAGCTTGTATTCACGTTGCCCTTATTTACTTACTATTTATCTTTAGATCCCCTCGGTGTTTTAAAATTTGAATATCTTACATAATTTCATTCTGAAGCATAACGTCCATAAAAATCACAGGTCTGAGGTCCTAGATATATTTGGGAGGTAGTTGGGACTTGAGGTGAGGTTTGGGGTTTTTTTTTTTATATGTCTGTGGGAGTCACCGTTTTAAAGTGCATGATTCACGGGGTTTTAGGATATTCACAGAGTTGTGTAACCCTCGCCCCTACCTAATTCCATGACATCTTCTCCACCCCCCAAAATAAGCCCTGTGCCCCCGTTAGCAGTCACCGCCATTTATATTTTTAACACATATTAAAACTGGGGCACCTGGCTGGCTCAGTCGGAGGAGCGTGGGACTCTTGATCTCGGGGTCGTGAGTTCGAGCCCCACGTCGGATGTAGAGATTACTTAAATAAATACACTTAAATAAAATAAAATAAAATAAAACAAAACACACAGCATGGGACTGACATGCCATGTTAATAGCCGCACGCACCCCACAGCACATGGGCCCCACTTTGGCTTGCCTGGGCCTGGGTATATGGGAACGGCCAAGTGAGAGGAGGTGAGAACAAATGTGGCTGGTGGAGGGCTGGGCTCCAGGTAGGGGTCAGTATGGTCCCAGGCCTGCCTGTAGGAGTTTCAGGGGAACTTCTGGGCGAAAGATGGGGTCAGTCCCAGAGGTGGGACCGGGTCTGTGCCCTGTGCAGAGGCACCTGGGTGGTGATCTACAGTGTCATTGCCTAATGTCTGTCTCCCCGACCCTGGGACCCATGAGGGCAGGACTCTCTCTGTCCTGGCCTCCACTGTATCCTGTTACTGGGCAGATACTGGCTGCAGAACTTTATAACCCCAAGTCTCTATTACTGTGCACCTCCTCTGTGCCCAGCCCATTTTATAGACCTCGGCCCTGACACCTCAAACCCACCCTAAGAGCGTGGGTGGCCCTGCCATTGTCCTCCCCTTTTATGGGTGAGGAAACGGAGGCTCAGAATGAGTGGTGTGTGTGTGTGTGTGTGTGTGTGTGTGTGTGTGTTGGGATGGAGGAAGCCTGGGCAGGATTCACAAGCTTTAAACTACACCCTGAACTGAGTGAGTGAGAGCAGGGGCAGGGGAGGGGCCGGGGGAAAGGAGCTTCTAGGTGGGAAGACCCTTCCCCCGCCCCCCACCTGGGTGGGTGTGTCAAGATAGGGAGCGGGTGGCCAGGTGGGGGCCCTGTTTCCGCATCACCACTCACCACCCTGTTGGAGCAGCGTTGGTGACTCCGCCACTCACCGAATCTTAATTGAAATCTATCAGCAGCCACGGAAGGTGCGGGAGGAAGCATTTAAGCGGGGCCTTGATTAGCTCCTGGCAGACAGGGAGCCCTGAGGAGAATGTCAACTCAGCCCTCCACTCCCCTGGCCGTTCCCTCCCTCTGCTTTTCCACACTCCCCTGTCACCTTCTCATCCAGTGTTTTGTCTTTTCCTATTGAGTTATGGGAGCTCTTTATATATTAAGGTTATTGATTCTTTGTCAGATGCACATGATATGTATTTACTCCCAGTCATTTATCTTTCAGCCTCTTTTTTTTTTTTTGTAAAATTATTGCTTATTTCCTAGACATTTAAAACTTTTATGTAGCCAATTCTTGCCAGTCTTTTCCTTTATATCCTCTGGGTTTTAGGCCCTGCTTTTCCCTCCCAGTTTTATAAAGTCTCCTTTTTTTTTTTTTTTAATGTTTTTGAGTGTTTGTATTAGGTTCAGCTCTTTAATCCATCTGGGATTGATGGTATGAGATTTGGGGGTTTAAATAGTTTTCCTCTCCATTTTAACCCACCAGCTCCCTCTTCCTCCAACTCTGATGGTGATGGGGTCTGATCTCAGCTCACCATCCAGGGGCCCAGCGAAGTGGGGGGTTGGAGAGACACAGGAAGTGAAGAGAGAGGGAGAGCGAGGGAGGGAGGTGGCCTTCATGGGAAGAAGGGTGACGATGGCGGAGGACCCCCAGCGCCCCCACCCTGCCCCTCCTCCAGGGCACCCTGCCAGGGGCCCCTCGTGGGCATGGGAATGGCGCATCAGGAGCGGAGCACGGCTTCGCCCAGAGGAATGGCATGCTTAGGGTGGGCCCCTGGGCACCAGCAACCACTCAGTGGGGGAAAGGAATCTGGAGTCTTCCAGCATCCCTGCTGGGCTGGTGTCCCTCTTGCCCTATCCCTGGATCGGATTATTTGTCCTGGACAAGAACTGAGTAAGAGCAAGGAGTCCGGGCAGGTCTGCCTGGGTTCCAATCCCAGCTCTGCCCTTCCTCAGCCATGTGACCTGGGCCCGTCCCTTAACGTCCCTGTGCCTCAGCCTCACCCATCAAACAGCGATAACAGAGCCCCTGCCTCTTTGATCACGACAGCAGCTGCAAACACGTGGATAATGTGTGCAGTGGGCCAGGCCCTGTTCTAAGAGCTGTACAGGGATTCTTTAATTAAATTGGACTCATTCAAATTCCACTGGATTCATTAAGCCACGTGAAGTGCTCGGAACAGTGCCTGGCATTTGCGAGCGCCGTCCGGCTGGTGGGCAGTGGTCATCGTTGTCCACCGCCTGCCCTTTACAGCGTGTGAAGCCCTCGTGGCCCCTCCCCTCCGCGCCAGGAGGCCCGCGGCGCAGGTGCGCAAGCTGGGGTGCGAGCAGGGGCCCCCGGAGGGGGAGCTCAGGGAGGAGCACAGAAAGGCTGGGACACCAGCCCAGCAGGGATGCTGGAAGATTCCAGATTCCTTTTCCCCACTCTCAAAGCCTGGTCCAGGGCGGGTCTTGGGAGAGTAGGACGGGACGGGACGGGGGAGCTGCAGGGAGAGGCTGGGCGGGGTCCACGCGGCTCTGCTGTTACTTGGCTCATGGTGGCTTCCCCTTGGCCCTGCACCTGGACTGTGGGCCCGGGCTTCCCTCTGGCCTGGGTGGGGAAGGGGCCGCACGGTCTTCTCACCCCCTTTGCTTGTACTACACCCTGACCCTCCTGCGGGGGGTCTGGAGCTCAGGAGGGAGAGGCTGATGAAATGTCACTCGATGTTGATAACTTGTAATTTTAATTAAACGCCCTCTTAATCAAGAGGTAATCAAACTGGCAGGGAAGCACCTTGAGTTGTGAGTGTGTGAGAGAGGGAGGGAGGGAGGGAGGGAGGGCGAGGGATGATGGGGCGTGGGGGCCAGACCCCGGAGACAGCAGGAGACTCAGAGCCCACCTTCTGCTGCTCAGCCACCGTGCCTGCATTTATTGAGCGCCTACTGTGTATCGGGCTGCACTCAGATGCTGGGATTTAGTCGTGAGGTTCCACACTGGGTGGAGGCAGATAAGGAAATAGGCAGCGGGGACACAGAATGAGAAACACCGAGGGGGGTAGCCCCGGGGTGGGCAGAGGTCCTCATCCAGGACAGGAGGCCAGGCAGCCTTCCTGAGGTGAGACCTGAACATGAACAGAACCTAACCTGGAGGAGTAGGGAAAAGTATCCCAGGCAGAGGGAACAGCATGTGCGAAGACTCGGAGGCCAGGGTCAGGGAAGTGTGTACAAGTACCAGATCCCTTCCGGCTGGAGCCCAGAGTGAAAGCCAGGATGAGGGATGCTGTCACCCCCAACCCAGATTTTCCAGGTTCCTTCTGACTCCTGGAGTCTTTCTACTAACCTTCCGCTCAAACATTTGGAACGCATAACCTGACTTAAAGCGAACGGAGAAAACCAAACACAAGAAACCGTCAGTCCTGTTTCCTGCCAAATGCAGGCTGGCAGGAGGAGGGACGCGGCCCAGGCCTGACCGCACAAACCTCCCTGTCGCCAACCACGTGAGCTTGGCTCTCGGGTCTCCTCAGGTCCCTCTTGTGGGGGTCACCTCGTGAGCACCCCCCGCCAGCTTCGGCCATTCTCTCCTCCACTCCAGGGCTCAGGAGGATCCACGCCCTGACCACGCAGGCCACCTATGAGCTCCACGTGGACCTGGAGGACTTTGACAACGGCACAGCCTATGCCCGCTATGGGAGCTTCGGCGTGGGCTTGTTCTCCGTGGACCCCGAGGAAGACGGGTACCCGCTCACCGTGGCCGACTACTCGGGCACGGCAGGTAGGACCCCGGGCGGCCGCAGGGAAAAGGAAGGGCGAGGTGGGGGTGGCTACCCACCAGTCTCCCCACCCAGGAAGACAGAGGAACTCCAGGTCTGGTACTTCTGGCCTCCACCTTCAAGTCCCACCTGGTCCTCATCCCAGCAGCATGGAAACAGCAGGACCCGAACTGTTCACCCATTCTGCAGATGAGCAAAGTGAGCCCCGAGCCAGGAAGCAGGACAGCTGGGGTTTGGGTTCCGCTGGACCCCTAAAGTGTGGTGGCCGCAGTCCTCTGGGCTGGGTTGCTCTTCTTAGGTGGAGGCAGGGCCAGGAAAGGGAGTGTATGAAAGAGGTGGGAGGAGGGACAGAGACCACCGGGACCCCGGGACAGCCCGGGGACCCCCAAGGTGGCCCCGTGGGGGCATGCGAGCTGCACAGACACCGTGTGTGTGCCTGGGGGGGCGCTGTATCCGTGTGTGTGCACGCGTGTCCGGGGGAGTCCCCATGGCACGCACCTGTGTGTGCACACATCTGTGCAGGGGACTCCCTCCTGAAGCACAGCGGGATGAGGTTCACCACCAAGGACCGCGACAGCGACCACTCGGAGAACAACTGCGCCGCCTTCTACCGCGGCGCCTGGTGGTACCGCAACTGCCACACGTCCAACCTCAACGGGCAGTACCTGCACGGAGCGCACGCGTCCTACGCCGACGGCATCGAATGGTCCTCCTGGACCGGCTGGCAGTACTCGCTCAAGTTCTCAGAGATGAAGATCCGGCCGGTCCGTGAGGACCGCTAGATGGGCGCGCTGTCCGCCCACCCCCCACCCCATCACCTCCCCCATCCCCGGCCCGACCCCACCCTGCATCTCCTCTGACCTGCTCTCGCGTTGGGGTGGGCTGCACATCACCTTCGTGCTGTCCCCACGCCCCAGTTTACCTCTGCTGATGTGGGGCAGGGCACACTGGACAACCCCAAATTCTACCTGCCCAGACTTTGGCTCCTGGGCTAAGTGTCTTGACTTCCCTTGGCCGGCACCCCGGCGGACCCTCTACTTTGCCAGTCCAAACACCTGGTGCTTGGGGGGCACAGAGTAGGGGCAGGCGGCACTCCTGCAGCCCTTTTAGCAGACAGAGGGACTGTTTGGATCTTTCTGAGTCGGGTCTGAGGCCAGCCTCCTCTCCCTCCTGGCCCCCCTCCTTCACTTCCATGGTGCCTGGGGATCCTACCTCTCCCCTAAGGACCGTGGGGGGGGGTGGTGCAGAGGGCTGCCTGCGGCCGGGGCTGGACAGCCATATCCCCCATTCCCACAGGCCAGGCTGGGGCGCAGCTGTCTGTGGGGACTCCCAGCCCAGGGTGGCCAGGGCCAGTTCCCTGGAGCTCCCCCCGACCCCCATCCACCCCGTGTTCCTGCAGGCCTGGGAGGTCATCAGTCCCTTTGGCTGCTGTGCCCAGCATCCTGCCTTCCTGGGGCAGCTGGAGCCCCACCGTACCCTGTCCTCTTTATGTGGGAGGCTGGGGCAGGTCCTGCTCCCTCCGGGCCTGGTCAGTGAGGACCCCTGTATTTTCTGGGCTGCCGTGGGGCTTGAACCACCATCCCCACATTCCTCAATTCCCAGGGACTCCAGGGCCTTAGGGCCTCCTGGCATCAGGCCTGCAGGGTGGAGGCTGGACCGGGAGGGGTCCTGGGGCTATTTCCCTGGTCAGCTCAGACTGCTGTCTCAGTGGGGAGGCCGCCCCCTGCTGGTGAATGTGGGTGCTGCCACCTCGGGTCAGGGGGAAAGGAGGGGCTCACTGGGCAAATGGGGGGACTGAGGCACCACCAGACACTGGAAACAATCTGTCATCGAATCCTCCCAGTGCCCGACGTCTTATCATTCTACCCCCCAACAAGAACTGCAGGTTCCCGAGGTCAGCAGCCAAGAAAAGCGGCCCTAACCCCTCTGGTGGATAGTGCTGGGACCCTGATGCCCTTGCCGTCAGAACCAAGCACGGGGCTGTTTCCCTAAGTTCCTACCTGTGGGGATGTGATGGGGGGCCTTTGAGAGGTTCTGGGAGGCTGGCTTCCCAGGGGTGGGCCGCACCAGTGGCCCCCCTCAGGCAGGAGGGAGGGAGGGGGTGTTGCCTTGTAGGACGCCGCAAGGCAGATGAACACAGGCAAATAGGGGAGCATGGGCTTCAGCTCTCCCTTCCCCTCCCACCAGACTTTGTGCTGCAGTAATGGTGAGTCAGGGCCGGCTGGGGGCAGCAGGAGGGCTCCGAGTGTGGCCGACTCTCTGTGCAAGCCGGCCCGTCCCCTGTAGCTCCACCTGGTCATGGCATTCAGCCGAGTTTCGCTGGACATCTGCTGTGGGCCAAGGCCTGCCCGGGTGCCGGACAGCACCGAGTCCCTGCCCTGTTGGCACCGGACCTAAAGCAGACACGGCCAAGAGACAGGCAGCGCAGCCCAGTGTGACCCATGCTGGGGGGCAGCCCAGCTGCAGGGGGGGGTCGCGGCGGTGTGGGGGAGCTGTGGGGGGGCTCCTTATGACTTGAAGGGAAGCCCCCCCGCCGCGCGCCCCCTTCTCCATCTTCTAGAAGAGGAACCAGTCCACCCGAGCTGCTGGGGCTCCCAGCCCCAGCACAGAGGCCGGGTGGGACCCCAAGTCCTCATCCCAGGGAGCCCCCTTCTCCCCCACCAGCCCCAGGCTAGAGCCGGCTTCTGCTGCCAGCCTCGCGGTGCCAGCCGCTATTTGGAAAGTGTCAGGCGTTTTCTGATCTGTCATCAAACAAACTCCTGGTGAGTGTGATGTAAATGGATTCACAGATGTGCGTGTGCGCCAGGAAGCTCAGGGGCGCTCCTGCCAGGGCTTGGCTGCAGAACAGATGTGCCACGGCCCGGAGGGGCGGGGGACAGATGGCCGAGGGCAGCTTTCGGGAGCGTCCAGCTGACCTGGAGACACCCCTTCCTTCCTAGCCGAGAGCACCAGCCCCACGCCCGGCCCAGGACTGGCACCACCATGGGACATGGGCCGGATCCATTGCTGGCTGAAGGGGCACAGAGCTGTCTGGTGGGGACAGCCAAGGCCAGTGCACCCCACTTCCTAAAGGGCACAGATAGCCCCGCACACCTGCTCTGAGCCGGGGGTCTATGGTGAGCAAGGCAGGCTCTGGCCCTGGCCTCCAGGAGCCTCCGCTGTGATGTCCATACGAATGGCCGTCACATGAGCGGCAGCGACCACAGGAAGAAGAGGGTGCTAGGAGAACAGGAGGCAGCTGCACCAAGATCTGATGGATGACGGATGTGTGCAAACTGTTACCCAGGACCCAGGCTCACCGCACCCAAACTCTGTCTCAAGGGGCCCGAGTTGATGGTTTGGCGGTGGGGGCCTGTGGTCCCACTGATCACGTGTGAACTGACCGACCCCCCCCCCATCCCTTTCCTTCTTCCTTTGATGACGAGAGCGAGCCAAGCACGCGGGGACATCGGGGCAGTGCATGGGGCCCCACAAGCTTCTGAAGGTTCCTTTCCACCAGCACAGGTAGGTTCTGTGGAACCAGCCAGTGGCCTCACTCGTTCTGTGGCCCCCAAACAGGACACATCTCTGAGTTAAACCAAGGGCCACCCTGGGCCGCCTGAGTGCGCTGCGTCCAGAGGATGGATGGTTCCTGGGCTTCCACCCTGATGGCCCCAGCACGGGCCTCCGGGAGATAAGGACAGCGCTGTGAGCAGTTCCCAAATTGCATTTTCCCCCTGCAGCCGCATGTAAATTGGTTTGATAAATGTTTGTCTTGGGGCAGAAGCAGTATCGCAGGCCCGCCTCTTCCTTGTCCCCCTGCTCCCACCGTCGGCCATCCTCCTTCACACAGACCTCTGACCAGCCTGGCTGGGGCCAGGGCCCTGTCACCCAGGATTCGGTGGATTAGTCAACAGGAATTGCCAGGCTTCCGCGACAGCAGAAGAGGAGGCGGGGAGGGATGCTGCGTCTGCAGATGGTGGCCGGGCAGGGGGGACCGGGGGCCTGAGCTAGGCCTGTGGTCAGCCGCACATCCCTGTCCTGTGCAGCTGGGGGAGCAACATGCCCGCAGATGAGCTCAACCTCGAACAAAGGACACGAGGCTTTGGTCCCAGTGGCCAGGCCTCCCCAGGGCCTCAGTGTCTTCACCTGCTTGCAGGGAGAGAGCTGTCCCCAAACCCCGAGTGGGCCAAGCGGCTGGTGGGACTCCGCAAGCCCAGATGGCGGAGGTTGGCCGTGGTGGGACTGCGTGGAGACGGAGTGGGTGGGGGGCAGCTTCGGGCTGTGCCAATAGGCGAGCCTGACCGTCCACACGAGGCTGGCTGGGGGTGCGCGGAGTTGCTGGAGGGCCAGCACGGTTCGGGACAGAAGCTGGTCTGGGCTGAGTACACTTGGCGTCAGGTGTGGTCCTGTCTCTAATAAAATCCTGTGGTGACCCAGCTGGGGCCTCCGCCTCTAACCTCGCTTGGTGCCCCACATCAGACCACGGGGCGTTCCAAGACTGTCTCCTGCACAATTTCCCCAGACTTCCTCGCCATTCCGGTCTTTATTTCTATTGAAGAAACAGTGTTTCCCGGATAACTCAGTGCCCCCCAGAGGCTGCACCAGATCCTTTAGCAGAAGCAGGTGCACACCCGGCCAGCAGCTGGGCCGCCGCGGCCGGCGGAGGTGAGGAGGTGAGGCCTGGCCCCGCCACGAGCTGCACCCAGTGGGGGAGATCCTCCTGGGACTGGGCTTCGGGGGATGAACCTGTGCCAACCCCCGCCCCCCCCGCCCCAGGGCTCCAGGGCGACCAGCTGGCCCTGTGGATTTCTCCTGGGGCTGGAGTCCTGAGTAGCTGAGACTTTATTAAAAACAAGTCCCTGATGGCTAGTTATTCATAAAGCCAGCGTGAAGCTTGACGACAAAACAACCCCCTGGGCGCCTGGGTGGCTCAGTTGGTTAAGCGACTGCCTTCGGCTCAGGTCATGATCCTGGAGTCCCGGGATCGAGTCCCGCATCG